TATCTTGTGACTTATCTTAAGTTTTTAACCTGTCGAGTTTTTTTAGATTTTTAACATTACAATTTATATTTTTCCAAGCACACAACAGTTTAAAGCAAAGTTTAGTTTGAAAAGAATGTGCAGGAAGGATTGAAAAGCATGTTAACACGGTAATGTAGGCTGGAGTTCATTATCTGACGTTTGCAGATACACACCAGGAACCTGGAAAGTTACTGAATTAAAAAAATTTCATTGATATTTATACAAAAATGAATATTAGGAACTGTATTTATCAAACATTATACTGGGCAAGTAAAAACTGTTTCTGGGCAAATGAAATGTGAAATAAAAATCCTTAACGTCAACCCCTGAAAGGGATATTTAAACAGAACCGAAGATGTTAGCTACTTTAATGTGCTTCTAAAATAAGCCATGATGACGATGATGTAAACACTTAAACTAAATCTACTAAGAGCGAACAGACAGGTGAAAATAATAATAAAACCAGCAGTAAGTTTGAAAGGCCAGCCTAAAGGTCGTCTTCCCTGAATCTAACAAACTTCTAATGTTTTAAAGTCGCAGCAGATCTCACAGAAACAGGGAGACTATTCCAGGACCTCGGACCTGAGATCAGTCTCTCCTGGTCACAGCCCGAGGTCACGGACATCAGGAGATCTTGGAGTTCTACCCTGGATTTGTGGCTGGAGCCGATGGTAAATAATTCGTAAGGAAAAGTGCAACCGACAGTGGGGATACAGCCTCAGGGTGGCTGATTCAGCAACCTGGGGGTCCAGTAGTTCAGTCTACAGGCAACGAAACCATGGAAACCACCTCAAGGTTATAAGGAAGAGAATCTTTGACTTTACTAATTAGCCTCAGATAATAAAAGCTAGACTGAACTACAGCTCAGGCTTGTCCTGTCCATTTGGGGTGGGCTGCCTTAAAGACCAGTCAAGGTCAAAGGTCAAAGTCTTACAGTGGCTTAGAAAGGCAGAGATCAAGTCAATCCAGTCTAAATAGTTCCTTTAAAAAGAGAACCTTGAGACAACATTAGAATATTCCAGAAAAGGTTCCGCAGCGGATCAGAAACCAAAGGTTAAACTAAGGGTTCCGCAGCTGTAAGCCGACCTGACGAAGCTCCGCCCCCTCCCACAGACTTAGCTGCTTCTGTTGTGCGTTTCAGGTTCCCAATCTGGTGTTCTTGGCCCTGAGTCCAGAGGAGAAGGAGTCCTGGATCAACATCCTGAACGCAGCCATCACCAGAGCCAAGAACCGGATCCTGGATGAGGTACACGCCCCGGTTTAACCCACACGTTAGAATCGGACCTTCAACCAGGGGTACAAAAAGACCCGTCTCTGTGCTGGTTTCACGGTTTGGGTCTCAGTGGTATTTTCAGGTTTCTCTGCTCCAATCAGAACCGTTTTTACAGCTTCAGAGACATTCAGGAAAATCGGTTCAATATCAGACTTAAAAATGTTCTTTTGGGTTTAAACCGATCTCAGGACTTTCCGACTGTCAGTGGACAAACTTTTCCTTTAATCAGCTCTGTTTGGATCTACAGAACCTCCTTTTTCATTCTCAGGTTTTGCAGAAACCTTTTGCTCAGATGCTTGTTGGGTTCTGAGGTCGTTTTGATCTGTTTTCATCAGCGCCTGACTTCCTGTCGTCTTCATGCCTGTTCTGTCTCTGCCAGAAAGCTGGTCTGGGTCACTAAGACCAACAGGCCCGCGCTCTGACCCACGATCCAGTTCTTCTGTGGCCCAGACGGCGTATCAGAACCCATCTGGTTTCCCAAAGAGCCCGTCAGTCCCTGTTGGACCCTGTGGATCTGAGC